TTTTTAGATCACTTATTTAAAAGTACTGGGTTGCTATTTTTCTCCTCTTTCAATGTATCCTACTTGGAAAGTAAAATGTAAATTTTCTCTATTGAGCAAATTGATAACATGTTAAAGCAAATCTAAAGGATCTCAACAACACTGCTTAGGTCTCGCACGTGCTCAGCAATGCCTTGACATTAGACTACCAAAGAGAGTCACATTAAATTATAATTCAATACAATAAACCAGCACCAACAATTTGTATAAATATTAACAACATTACATTTAAAAATAATCTGCTTATATTTTCTATTTCGCTTTTTGGCATGTCCTATGTAATTACAGGATTTATATCTGACTATTCACTTTTTGAAAGACACAACATCATGCCATCATAGATCCACATACAAGACAGGATACAGTACTAAAACTTTTACATTTATATTTATGTAATCAAAACTTTCTGCTTGTACCTGTTCCTCTCCTGGGCAGGAAATATACATACTTTTTGTGGCAAGAGTAAAGGTTTTATAATTCATGACACTGCCGTGCTTAATGTCAAGTAAGACAAAAAGTCGATGATGAAAGAAAGATCACTTGGATTCTTTTCTTCCCACACAAATACAAATACCCACATATCTCAATCCTGTGCCCCAAAGAGAAAGCGACCATCTTTGAAGACCTCCCTGCTAAGGCACGGGTAAGAAGGAGCACAGCCTTGAAGCCCAGGTATTGTCATGTAATCAAGAATTTACTCATGAGCACGGACCCTCAAGCTTCCTGAAGGGGGTCATCCACTTCACCATTATCTGTCCATTTCCTACTCAAGGTTATCACAAGCCACATGAGCACCTTAACCTTGGAAAGGGAGAGCACTACCTACACAGGCCCCACCGCTCCATCTAATCGGAGGCAGTACGGTGCAGAACAGCGGGTTGTATTTTTGTCAACAACCTAACCATTATGGACTTAAATACAGAACGCCATGGCTTGTACAAATGTAAGATAACTGTGTGAGAGATTAAAATACGGACTCAGTGGGAAGAATACGTGCCCTGGCCTGCAGACTCACCTCGTGCAAATGGAAATAAAATTTCCTTCTATGCTTAGCTAGAAGGAAATTTTTAAAGCTCAGTATTAAAATTTAATTGGTAACTCTGGCCTTGAGTGCTACTTTAGGTGAAAAATATTACACCAGTTCTCAGATTTTCTTGGGATTTATGATCTCATGCTCTTGAAAAAGGCCTAGCACCTCCGTGTTCCTGAAATAATTGATCTGCCTGCTACAAGTGTTGTTTTCTTGATACGCACATCTGTCTCAGGAAGAAATGTACAAACTGATGAAAATACCCTGCTCTATTTAAGTAACTCAAGAGCTACCAGAATTTGCATCTAACACCTTACTATTTTTATAAAAGCAGTCAAGAATGTAAGTTGATAACTTCAAAAGCACATAATAGGAGACAAGAAAAAAATAAAGTGCAGTCATTTGCAAATGCTGCTTATAAGGAGTAACTCCAATTATTAATAGAGTATTTAAAATACGACAACAAGCCACAAAGCAAACCTATGGCTCACATCATTCTGGGTTAGAGAAGAACCCCACAATATGTATTTTCAACCTTGCGTGTTCTTCTTTGTTTCTTCATGGTTCTCACAAACACTAGTAACTTACCACAAAACTCTCAGCCTTCACTGCTGACTGTATCTGTCGCTAAGCAAAGGACCCCGGAAGCCATCGGGTAATGAGGAGGCACAGCCAACGTGAGAATGACTAGGCTTAGAAGATACCTCACTGCAGCGGAAACTCAGCATAAACTTCAGGTTACGTTTGCAAGGAAACAACTAGCAAGTATGATGCATTCTGCACAGGACAGAATGCCCAACAATAAATAATAAGCTTTGATACAAATTAATTGGTGTAATAATTGTTACCAATTAGCGTTTACTATATATGGGGCACTTTCAAAACTCCTTTGCATTTATTAAATCCTGGAAAGCTGCACCCACTTTCTAAAGTTGATGTGTCAGTCTCCTTTATAGACAAGGGCAGTGCAAAACAAAGAGGAAAAACTGCTGAATGTCTTTCAAACAAGTACTGGCTGGTCCCTTTCCCCGCCAAGACAAGGTGCTGAGAGCCATCCTTTCCACCTCTATAGGATGGGATGCTACATTAATAATCCATCTATAGAGAACTGGAAAAGCAAAATGGCCAACACCTTCAGAAAAAGCATACAGTCCTACATTAATTCACGTAGCAAACATCTGGTAAGCACGTACGACCCCACAGAACTCTGCATTAAGTTTTCTGCCAACACAAAAGGTCTACGGAGAAGATGCATGATTTACATTTATTCAGGGCTCTGGAAACTGCGCCTGCTGGAGCAGCTCCCCATGGCGGAATCACCTTTTTTCCCACAAGCCATCCTAGCGAGGCCCTGGAAAGCAGTCAGCGTACTAGCACCCAGAAATGTCAATTACATTAGCTAAAAAAAGAGAAAACCCAAATTCAAAGGAACTTCCACAGTAAAAGTGCAAGCAACAAATAATACACCTGGGAAAGCGGCTGGTCCACACAGTCTTGGTGGTACCGATCCTTTGTTCAAACATCTGGAATCATCTGTCAACAACCATGAAGACCTGCTCATCAGCAGCCAAGTCCACAGCAGTAGACTATGCCCAGCAGGCAGGGTTAACTTTGAAGACGAAGCTTCGCAATTTGCCAGCACAAAGAGGCAGAGATACACAAATCATCCATTCTCCACATAATTTAAGCGTTACCTCAGCAGCAGACTCAATAACCAGGACATCATCAAGTCTTTAAATATGGAAAAATGAGAACTACTTGTTGCACATTAATTATGCCTAATGGAAAACCCTTCTACGTATTTTTATAAATGTATCATGCAGCAGCACTTTGCTTTTGTGAGGTAGTGCTTCATGAAGCTCTAAAATCTTCCAAGATGCAGAAAGAGCTGAAGAGTGATACCTATACAAAACCATCACCTCTAGGAGAAAGAAGTATCAATTTATTTTTAGCGGGGATAGCTCAGGAGAATAAGCACTTCCTGGCAAGTGCAAGGGCCTAAATTCAATCCCCAGTTCTACAAAACAAAACAAAAAAACACAAAGCATTATTTGGAGGCTGGGGAGATAGCTCAGTGGAATAAGTGCTTGCCTGGAAAGCACAAGGTCCTGAGTTCAATCCTCGGTACCACCAAAAAAAAA